CATTTGTGGCACTTATTTTACAAGCTCTGTTGACAGTGATTGTTGTCGATAAACGTGGTTTTGGTATGACTGTTAGATCACAGGTTTCTTTTTTCTTCCATTTATTCCTCACCTAAACTGTTTCTGAGAATTCCATCCTTCATTAATTATCATAATGTTACGTGGATACGTCACGTGGATATGTCACGTACAACTTTGTCAATGTTATTGGTTGCATTGACGAAGTGTACATATTTAATGCAAGTAGCTATGATAGTGTATATTTTTATTAATATATTCATTAATTATTCCATATTTGTCAGTCGTTCTAATTAGTTTGTTTTTTAATTAATTTATTAAATTACTCACTTCTTAGCTCGAACATGGTAGTTAGTTGTAGTTGTCGTCGAAGCGAAGCTTTTCAATTTCAGTTTTTGGTGTACGGTACCTGTCATGTGATAATTGCTCTCATTTTCCTCTGTTCGATCGTGTGTAATTTAGCGAATCATTTGCGACATCGATTCAGTCGCATACGTTTTACCGATTTGACCACTGATACTCTCAAACAGAGAGTTATATGCAAATCGATTTCATGGATAGAAACTTAACATTCTATAGCATTTCTAGTGAACCATAGCTAGTTGATAAATTTAATGATGATAATTGTGATAAAAATAATGGATAAATGATTGCTTTAACCAGTTTGCTGTTTGTGTATAATGATAAAAATGGTAATGATAGCAATGATAATAGTAATGATGGTAATAATAATGATAATAGTACTAGTGATAATAATGATGATAATAATGATAACGGTAATATATGCACAAATGATTATCTCATTTAGTTCACCATTTGCAAATGATAATATTATTGCGATGACAGTGATGATAATAATAATAATGATAATTATAATGATGATAACTTATCCATCCTTTCTCAGTCTTTTCCACCACATGCTGAATCTTAATAATAACAACGTATCTATCTGTTCTCAAACTTTTCCATCACATATTGAATCATGATAATGATAACTTATCTATTTTTTTCTGGAACTTTTCCAGCATATGCTGATAAATTAATCATTCCTCCCCTGTTTATTGTCAAAATATTGTCATCATCCTTCCTTTTTTTTTTTGATTTTGAAAAAAAAATTTTTTTTGAAATAAAAAGTAAAAATCTCTTCTTTCTAAACATTTCTTTCTATTTCTATGAATCTCAAAAAATTTTCGTTATTTTATAATTGTTTACTTTTGGTTTTTTTTTTGTTTTACACTAAAGTTTTTGACTATTATTTATTTAATTTTGAAAAAATTTCCTTTTTTTTCTCTTTAAAATTACTCACTGAAATGTAAAACAATTTCTTTCAATTAATTCAACTTTTGCAAATAATTTAAAACTTTACTTTTGTTAAAACTTTCAGTACAAATGATTCGTTAAATTTTATCATGCAGTTTCAATTTCTCTTTCCTTAAAGCTTTAATTTTATAATATC